GGAGTTACAAATAAGTTAAAATGAACCAGTAAAGTGGTCCTGACGATGACATCCATGCCATTTTCCAAGTAGTCTTCAAATCTGGGTGTAGAGTTTTTGTAACTCCATTTCGCTTCTGGTAAGAACGCGTTACACATGTATATACACCCATATAAGTTATTGGTTTCAGAAAATGAAAGTATTTTTTATTAAAATAAAATGAGTTCACGTGGGATAGTTACCGCTTTTGTGAGATAAGGAAGAACAATTTCTCCTTTCTCCTTGAGAATTTCATTAACCACACCATTGATGGTGTTGTAGAGTAATGGGAAAAACAACTTCATGTAATCAGGAAGGTTTTCAACATTCTTCACATCCCATCTGAAATCAAATTATCACAAGTTCAAAGTTAGGAAACACTCGGTTAATATTTGACCATCTGGATTCGTTTTACTTTGAGGATTTTATTAAAACATGATAATTTCCAGCATTAATTTGCTTATTTAATTAATTTTATACGAATATATATATATGTATATATATATATATTGTATTCCAAGGGACCAAAAGAAGCATTTCATTAATCTAACTCTTGCAAAACTCAATTTATTTGACATCTCTAAATTAGTCCACCATCTAAACACAAATATATATATATATATATATATATATATATATTTAGGTACACTTAGGAATTACAATAATTTTCTAATCATTGACAATTCAGTTTAAATCATTAAAATTAGAGTATCATAATTAATATATCTAACTTTGACATGTCTCCCAAATATCTTTGGAAAGATTAACTGCTTCATATTGAAATCCAGAGAAGCGAGTTGAAGTACTTCTGATTTTGCATCATGTTTTTTACTATAAGCTTCAATACTCCATCGAGCTTCCAGCCTTTTCATCCTGCGGTTTAATGGAGTTTCTATCGCATGATTTACTTCTTTGACAATCATTTGGTCCATGTCTTCTTCTTCCCTAACTTTCCTTATATGATTTCTTGTGAATTCCTTAGCCTTGTCCAAGATGTTTTCTCCTTTATATTCCAAATAGGAAGCTTAATAGAGGCTCAAAATTTCCTTCACATCCTCGTATACACTTGACTTGAAACTATCATTTTTTTTTTTAAATGCTAAACACACGTGTATTTGTACATCGTAAGTTTAATTTTATTTATTTATTTTTTTTAATATTTTAATTTGACGAATTTATATAATAAAATATAATACTTAATATTTATTAAGTACTCTGTTAAATTAAAAAAATTATCAATATAAAAATTAATAAATTATAGTTTATAAATTATGGTTCATATATTTAAAATTTTGATAATTGTATTAATCTGTATATCTCTATGTATATATATTTGTTCTAGAAAATTTATAATGATAACCACAAATTTAAAATTTCAATCTTTATAATGAAATATAATATTTGATAATTATTTTATATATATAGTGACGTACCTTGGAAGACTTGATAGCCATGTTGTCTAAAGTAAAGAGCAGTTAAATGTAAATTCTTGTCCGTTCTTGTATGAAATTCTTGATAAATCTTATCTGAGAACTTTTGCTATATCCTTCTCGAGACGGTAGCCTAATCCTAGCCGTTCAATTTCATCAATCAGTTAAAGTCTCTCCCACAGATCTGCACCTTCATCGTTGATCATCATGCACCTCACTTGCTCCTCTAACTTCCACGTCTTTCTTTATAGACTTCAACCTACACTACGTGTTATAGTAAATTAACATAGAAATTACATGAAAAATAAATTAGAAAAGAAAAAAAAAAAAAAAGAGAGAGAGTAAATATTGTAGTTACCGGCTGGTGAGAGGAGGTTAATGACTGCAAGAGCTTATGGCTCCACGTGTTGGGTTGGTAATTAGCAGTTACTGTTGTTTTCAAGTCAACAGCGAAGTGCCGGCGCAGTCAACGAACAGCGAGTCTTACAAACATGTAGACATTTTTTATTTTGTGTAGTGTAAGGAAGGCTGTAATTGGTCAGTTTAGGAGCCAAGGAGGAAGAGCATTGGGGCATTGTACGCAGAACTTTGCTTGCCATTAATTCCAAAACACCGTAGTTTTGATCATCTGGGATACTCTCCACGAGCAAAAAAAAGATGGAAAACTTTTTGAGAATTGAGATGGAAGCCTGGAATGCTCTGCGATAATGATTTTTGAGGAGGTAATAAGTTTGGTTTGGCCTTCTGGAACTTCCCACGTGTGTTCACCAAATCCAGAAACATGGATGTAAAAATTGTTATTTACTTACTGATATTTCAAATATTACGATATTGAAGATCAAAGCTATGATTATATTTTATATATCAAGTAACTAAAATATAAAAGATTTGTATCAAACACAAACAAATTCCATTGCTACTTGGAAGAAACTAGGACAAACAGAAACTTTCAAAGATCAATATTCAAGAATAACATCATTCTCTAGTATTTCAACACAAAGCATTTGCAATTCTATTTGGCTACAAAGCATCAGAAGAATAGATTTCCTATTGTTGGCATTAGAAATAGCATAGGACAATCTTAAGAGCTTTCAGCAGCAGACTGGGTCACTCCAGACTTCACAAGCAACTTGTTGAGAGAATCAGGAGGGCAAACCTGATACTTCACCTGCCCAGCTGGAGTGAGAAACACCTCGGCCAACTCAAGCTTTTCACCAGTAAGACTCGTGCTGTCCATGGTCTTGCTAAGGACCTTCAATGAAAGCTGAACCGCCTCCTCCCTTGTCATATCATCCTTGTAGTCCTGTTTAAGCATTGATTGTGCAGCTGCATTGTTTGCTCCAATGGCTGCAGCTTTCCATCCACTGTAGTTTCCACTGGGATCGGTCATATATAGTTGGAAGCCATAGTTTTTGTCCCATCCAGCAAAGAGAAAAGAAACGCCAAAGGGACGCAGACCACCAAACTGAGTATATCCTTGCTTGGTGTCACAGAGAGATTGAACTAGCTGCTCGACGGGCATTGGCTCTTGGTAGGCATAAGTGTAGCGTTGGGCTTGGACCCTAGCCGTGTTGATTAGGATGTTGGCATCAGACATTATTCCAGCAACAGCACAAGCAACATGATCATCGATCTTGTACATCTTCTCGGTGGATGTTGAGGTTTGCAAGAGTTTGGATGTAACCTTCTTTTCACCGACCAAAACAACACCATCTTTTGCTAGTATTCCAATAGCAGAACCAGCATTTCCTATGGCCTCCATGGCGTATTCAACTTGGTATAGGCGACCTTCTGGGGAGAAGATTGTTGTACGGCTATCATATCTTCGGGACATATTTGATTACCCTAATTGATCATAAGAGAAAAAGGAACGGAAGTATGCATCAGTAGGAATAGAAAATATCATAAAAGTTTGGAACTAGTGAAAGGATCCAAGAAAACATGAGACTGAAGATTAGAAAGTCTTGACATTTTCAGGGGATCATACAACCTAAGTTAACCTCCAGCTAATATGCATAATTCGAGCTTCTTTCCTCACTAAAAAATTTTAAAAGAAAACATGAAATTAGCATGAGAATTAGGGTTGAAATCTTCACAAGAAATGAATATTTATTATTTAAACAACTTTTTAAGAAAGATAAGCAACCTTAAGGTCACCTTCTACTTTGAACTCCCAGACCCTTGTTATGGCCAGGAAAATGAGATGTCGCACCACCACAGACCAAACATTAACACAAGCTCATGAAAATTCAATAGTGTGATTTTCAAGGTTTTTAACAACGAAAACCCAAGCCCCACTTCAATGATAATGCAAAGGGGCAGCAAATTCCTTACTCCAACAACTACTCCACCTAGCAAACCATTTTGACTGCCAAAAGGAAATTATAAGCAAGGGAACCAAGGAGGTAGCACCATGTACAAGAGAGAGAAAACAAGATTAAATGAGCCAAAATGTCCTCGAGGTCCCAAAATGTTCTTCATAAACAATAGAATGACCTTTAACAAAATATACAAGGTTTAGAACAAGAAGTCGCGATTCTATGTAACAGGAATTAAGGAACAAATATGCTAAAATTACAAAAACCAAGTGAATGAAACACCAAGAAACCAGAGTTCCGAATCTCTCCATAGGCCCTTTAGAGCCACAGCTTGGATCGGTCCAAGGGCATAGTTGTGAACTAGAAATGGCCAAATTTCTCTCAACCATTAGACGTAGGAGAGATTTTTTAGTCAACAAAGAAACTAAAGAAAGAATAGGGATTCTAGATGCAAGAGAAAGAGAGATTAAAATTAATCATTCTAGATGCAAGAGAAAGAGAGATTAGAATTAGTCATTCTAGAAGCAAGAAGAACAAAGTAGTTCATAACTTATTTCACAATATTAACCACACTTGCAATGCGAATTGTACAGGTGCAAATACCTGAACCATCATTAAAAAAAAGTAGTCATTTCTAGATGTAAAAAGAGAAGAAAGTAGTTCATAACTTATTCCATAATATTAACCACACTTGCAAATCGAATTGTACAGGTGCAGATACTCGTTCTACCATTAAAATTGTTGTAAAAGGCAATCTCCTAACATACTACATTTAGGGATATATGTTTTTCTTGTTCTATAATGTCCCTAGACGGTACAAGCCACTAAGCTTACCACAATCACACTGTTCAATAAGTTTTTTTTAAAAAAAAAAATACTCTCCTTAGTAGCTAGAAAGCAAATTTCAGCCAACTGTGTGTCATACACAATAATAATGGGCTACGAGTAGAACCTGGTTGGTTTATTCTTGTTCTATGGTTTATTCTTCCAAAGACACAATCTCAATGGACAAATCTCTTCGAAAAAACTGCTGCTGCATGTGTTCACAAACAAACTGTTTATCCCTTCATACTTTTGATGTAATGTGAAGCACATTAAAACTGATTATTAGATAAAAAAATTTATTGTTTAAGAAACAAGAACTGCTAACTTCATTACAAGCCATCATCTTCCCCATGTAATTCTTCACACTTCTTTCATATTAGCAGAAAACCAGAACAACTGCCTCCAAAATAATCAAGCCTCCTTCAGTTAACCTCATAACCAAGCTCTAGAGAGTCTAAAGACTATACAGAATAAACAGTAGCAAAGCAGTAACAAGACAATGTTATGAGTACTAATAACTTGTGAGACTTAAAATATGATAAGCAGAACACAGAAAATCCTCTAACAGGAAATGAAATCTTCCTAGATAACAATCAAATTGCCTCCATTAGCAGAAAACAAGAGTAACTTGCTCCAAAATAATCACAGCTCCCTTAGTTAACCCCATAACCAAGCACTAAAATCACTGAAAATTAAACAGAATAAACAGTAGAGGAGCAGTAACAAGACAATGCTACGGATACTAATAACTTGTGAGACATAAAATATCATCAGCAGAGTTAAAACACAGAATATCTTCTACCAGGAAACAAGATCCTCCTAGATGGCAATCAAATTGCCTCCACTAAAGGTTTTCATACAAATTACGTACGGCCTAATTTTCAAACTGAGTAAGGAACTTGGACAAATTGCATGAAGGAAATGAATTCTCATGAATTTAGGAACTCCAAGGAAATGCATAAAGGTAGTAAATCCCCATTGTTGACTCAAGACAAGGTGAGGCTATCCAAGAATCATGCAATACCACTGGCCCTTTGAGGTATATGCCGGAACCCTCTTGATGGTATAGGCTAAATAACAACGCGAGGTACTTGCTATCTATGTTCTAAAGACTCAAGAAAGAGAAGACTTGCAAAAGAGTGATAAACAGTAGAAAATAGAAATGTAGATGTAGTAGAACGCAATTCTAACAAGCTAGCAAAAGCTAAAGCAACACCCCGTTGCTTATGTATGAAATAGCAATATATTAACGATGGTGGCTGTAAAAAACAAAAAGGAATTGAGAGGACCATAGAACTTGAACCAAGCATCTCAAGAGCAAAAGGAAAACAATAGCTAAACAGAAGATCTAAAGACGAACTAATAAATATAATGAAACCGATTTTGGGCTGAAAATCACCCAAGAGCTAACCATGCAGTGGTAATTAAAAAGAAAGAAAAAAAAAAAGAAAACTTGAAACCTAGACACTCATTTCAAATACACAAAGCTATTCTTTTGGTTTCACCAGTTTGGACTCAAGGAGAAATAGAATCCCTCATGAACAAAGTCAAACAGCAAGTAAAAAGATTGAAAAGAAAGGGAACAACTGCAATGAAAATATAGCATATAAATAGTGATAAAATAAGTAAAATCAGATGCAATAACCAAAGTGTTAAGTGCCTTGGACAGAACATCTGTCTACAAACACAACAAGATATGAAAGATCAATTGTTTAAAGTATTGAAACAACAAGCAGTTAAAACATGATTAAAAGAAGAACATGGGTGGCTATACAATACAAACAGAATTTTAGAATTAATAATAACATGTCTGGGTACATAAAAATATAATAAAACTGAGAAAAAAAGATGCAAATACATGTTTATGACCCAAGACATATAACTGCATAAGGATATATTTACATATATATGTATGTATGTGTGAAAACATGTTTTACACAGTTATACACCATTAAATTCAGAAGCGAAAAGCAAACCAGAGAAGTAAATATGCACAAGATGAAGTTTAAATCTAACTCAAAAGCATTGTATAAAATAGCATACAAAAACGTTATCTGGTACTTAGACCAGAAAGCCGCAAAGAAAGACGTAGCCTACCGTCGGGTGTGTACATATACATATATGAGATGGTACCTACGCTAACAGAAAACCGCAGAAACTTTAGGGGAAAAGATAGAACCAAAGTAAAGAAAGCAGATATAAGGAGCAAAAAAAGATCCAGCACACAGAGAGGGCATATCTGTTCAGGTAATCAACATACTCGATCTACATTCACGTAAGGGTATGTACGGATACATACATATATATATGTATGTATGTATTGATGTATATACGCGCACGCAAATATATGGTCATAAAACCACATAAACAATAGAATTAAGCTAAAATATAGAAAGATATTTCATGTTATCAGAATCAGCATATAGAAATGAAAAAAAAAACCCCGAATCTGCTTTCATCATCTAGGAAATCAAGGACCTGTCATAGCTGCATAGCAACATAGGTAAAAAAATAATTTTTTTAAAAAAAAAACAGAGGATTGTACTTATATGCTATATTTGCTTAGTCAAATCAGTTAGAAGGGAGAAAGATGACAGGGCGTGCTAATTTTCCCTTGATGG